CGTCTACCAGAGTTACAGGTAATTTGGCTTTCCGCTAGTCTTCACGCTCAGAATGCGTGGTGTCTGACAAGAAAGAGCTAGAAGCTCATCAAATTCAAGCTTTTTTATGACCATTGCCATCGGATACGAAAAAATGGAAGTTGTATAAATCCGCTAGTATCACTATCTGTACTTACTGCATTAGTCTGAAAAAGCGTTTTCACCTGGTACTGTTCTTTTTTTTCACCAAAAATTGTTACGAATGTCTTTAAGGCTGTGGTTTTTTGAGTGAAGATCGAGTTCCCCTGTAATAAACTTTTGTTTGGAGTAGTGAGTAGTAATGAGACACGTAATACGTGATGAAATGACCATTATTTGCTACAGGTGCAGCATAATTTCCGCATGTTCCAAATGCCAAACAACGTTGATGCAATCCGCGGCTACATGGGACGCTTCCTGAGACGCCGGATACTGGAGCGAGAAATGAGTGGTGAAGAGCGCTCTGCTCCAGAAATTTACAGGATCGTTGAGTTTCTTCCCAGGGTTTTGTCTTCCGTAAATTCGGTAAGTGATTAATTGATCGCAAAAAACAGCTCCTTGAATTTTTTCATATAGGAAAAATTGTGATCACAATCAAAAGCTAAAACTTTCGCAATCGAGCTTCCATGAAAAGCGGGAACATTGAGAAGTAGTCTTTCTCCCTCTCTTCCCTTCAATGCAAATTTCCGCACTTTTTTAAGCTTCAGTTTTGATCATCCGCGGTATTTATGGCTAGATGCATGCGGCACTGTAAAGCGAAAAATAGCCTGTTGTCATACTATTAGTGGTCGAAGATTCGAATCGCGCCAGTGAGACAATCAATCTCTCTACGATTTGTCATTCGGTTCCAAGCCAAAACACAAGTGGTAAGGGAACGAGCGAGAAAAAGGGGAGGATGTGTCGTGAACTGAGCCCTCTTTCGAAAATTGTTCTGGACTGGGAGTGGATCGAACCGCTCCAATTCGCATCTGGACGCAACGTATTACCACTACACCACCGGCACTTGTGCTCGAGATCCAGCCTGGCAGCACATTTTCTGTGTATCTGCCTTTCAAAGCATAATATACCTTTCTTTTTTTCTCTGCCTTCTGTTAGACAGTTTCCATCTTCTTTGTGACGACTTCTTGGCCGACTTTTCATGGTTTTCAGCGACAAAATGTGAGGAGAGACATGCTAAAAATTTGGCTAAAACGTTTCGACCAAATTCAAATTTCATTTGTTGTTATAGTTTATTGAAAAAGCAAACTCTCTGGATGTCACGATTGGGCCTCGTCTTTTCCTGCAATGCCCATTAAGTGTGGCGCAATCGCGAGAATGGTTTATCAAGTTATGGAATCAAATGATTGTTCCTTATATGATCAAAGTAGCAAAAGAAGGTTAGTTTAGCCGAATTCATGTTTATAGCTAAGTGATGAAACATAGAATGTTCCCCTGCGTGTCAGTTGTTTCATCTGGCACTTTCCAGTTTTCTGGATACTGTATTTTTATTTCATAAGCCAGTTCGTCTGAGCAATGCATTTCATATCGTTGAAATTGTTCACAGCCTTTTCAAGAACTATAATTTCGATTAATTTCCAAAGTAAAAAAAACGTGGTGAAAATCATTAAGTTTAGTTGAGAGAGAGAATAGGGGAGGGACTGGGCGAAATTTTTGGTTAAATTTTGATTTTTCCTGGTAAATTTTGCGTTTTTTGAAGAACTCACCTTAGATGGACCTTCGGATGAACTAGATCCGTAGTTCGTATCAACCATACCAGGTTTTTCATCGTCAAGTTGTTTGTTGAGAATCTCCTCTCCCCTTCCCCCTCCTCCTCCCCCGCCTTCCTCTTCCCAACCGTTTCCCCACCACTTCACGTGACCGCAAGTAAAATTCTGTTTTTTGGTCCGTCTTGAAAAAAAATATTGAAATGGGGTTTTCAGGTGTAAAAGTACTGGGCCGTTGTGGGAGCTTTGAAGATCCCACCGATTTCGTCTGCGAGCAATGGCCATGGCTAGAAGGGGTGGCAGCAGAGAAAGTTCTGCAGCGTTTGTCGCCGATTCGGGAGACAATATCCGGTCAGCCGAACGGTAACAGTGCTCAGTTCGACCCGCTGGAAGCATTAATTCGGATTCAGTCCAATAATGCTAATTCTCAGCAAGAGATTGTGCAGTAGCGCTTTCGTTAGTTCCAGTTTTGTTCAAATGTTGTAAAAAAAGGTTCTGGCTTTTATTCCAATTGTTCTGGGCTTAAAATAATTGTTTTTATTCTTTGGTGTATTTATTGCCGGTGTAAATTCATCTGCGATACTTATTCTGCTATGCATTATAAGCTGATCACGGTGAAATCAGCAATGATATGGTACTTAATTCTACATAAGTACTTAACCTGGTGTCATATTTAACAATTTTTTTTATTGCATTTCGTTTATTATTGTAATAGTGAGTGGGCTGTGCATGAAAATGAATAACCAGTACTTTGAAGAGGTGGTGCACATACATCGCGATGAGTACTGACTGGAGGTATGCAGCTCGAACTGAAGTGAAAACTAATTTTGTGCTTTTTGTGACGCATAAGACATACCAGTATTTTCGAAAGATTTCTTACCAGACCTGTCTGTTTACTGAGGGAGAGAGAAGAATAACAAAAGTGATACAGTTTGAGCATACGGCATGTTCGTGCGTGTTCTCGTACCATCGCTAACATGTTCCACATCCCAATATCATCGCGAAGCCGGAATTCCTACATGACGGTCTGCCTGGTGGTTTGAGTGCTCTTCGTAATTTATGTGTATTTTCACGGTGTCAGGATAAAAATCGAAGAATTTTGCCGAAAACTGACTTTCCTTGAATCCCTA